GAGGTTTCCTTTTAGGTGTGACGGACTTCTCATCAGTTTCTTCTGATTGAATTGCTAATATTTCTGTAATCATTTATTTGCCAGACTACATAACTGACACGTCAATATAAAGGTTTCAACAAGAAAATCACTTTCAAGGGTGAGTGGATTTTTTATAATTTTTTTTTTTGCTCAGAACGTTTGGGGACTTTTGGCGAAGCCAAATTGCTCACCCTGGCTTTGAATATGCCTTCAGTTATACTAAACAAAAGATTTGACACTGACTTCTTTTGAGAAATTTTGATCTGTTGTTCATCATCATTTATACCGAAATAATACAAAATATCTTGATTTATATCCTGATGGTTATACAAGTGGAACCTCAGCGGATATAACGAAGGGCCTAGGGCCTTTGGCAAAATGTGTTCGTTATAACGAAGTTTCGTTATAAGAGTTCTTTTTCATATATTTTACTATTACTGAGGGACCATAAACCCGCCACCCTGAGATAATCCCCAGTATTGCACTGTCTCATACACAACACTGACTATATACCATAACGGACAAGCCCAGAAGTGAGTTTTCACTTACAGGATATCTGCTGATGATGACAATATTGTTGGTTGTAGGAGCCTACGCATGACCACTCATGGGCTCTCGGGTTAGTATATTGCACCGTCATGTATGGTCTTTACGGCATCCCTATCGCTACAGTGCGTGTGTTTGAAGTCAATGTCCTTACGCTATCATTGCGAAAGCACCTGAAATAAACTTCGTCCCATTTAAAAGCGCTTCCAAATATATGCGGTTGTCCCTTAGAAATAGACTTTGAAAAGTGCAAGAACTGAGGCTTATTTAGTTTGCGGGACTTAACGATGGTGCCTAATCATTCGATGCAAGTGCAAATTTCTCCTCCTTTTCTTTGGCTGGGAGCCCACCACGTGACCTCCAAATTACTGCTTACAAATAATGGTCTACTCATGCGCAAAGTCATCCAACTGTTTTTAGCTGCAAATAATATTCTGCTCATGTGTTAATGACACCACGCTTTTTTCCAGCTTGTGATCGGTCTTGCATGAAAATGACCGATCTTCCAATCCCTGAGTTTATTCATTAAGAACAAACTCGGTGAGTTTTCGAGGTGGGCAGTGGGCAGTGTTGATGTACAAAGACAAACATTGAAATTTATCTTAAATTCTGCAACAGAAAACAAAAGTGTTTTATATAAATCAGCAGTGGTTTCGTTTCAGACCGGACGGAGGACGCTTCGCCTCAAATCATATTTTCTAAAGCCTGCCACTTGGAATGCCGAGAACCATTTGATTTGCCAACCGGAATTTCGATGCAAATGTTAAATACGTACTTGACTGGTCACTAATGAAATCGTGAAATATCACAGAGAAAACTACACTTGCTAGACTCAATTTATTTACCACTAAACACGGATAAACTGAAGAATTTTTCTCCTTATTGTGATTGTTCATAGTAAGTTAACAGTAAGGTGGAAAAAAATAACCTATTACCAAAGGAAGGAACATTGTATACTTTTTTAGAAAACAGTGGCTGAAATTTTGACTTTTTAAGTTTACACATGATTTTTATAGGAGTTTCAACTTTAAATACCGTCTACAAGTTTTTGATATTGAAAATATCTCCTCGTAAGTATAAATCAAGGAAGGAGTTTTTGTTTTTGTTTAATAAATATAGTTACTATTAACAGGCCTAGCGAAGATGTTCGTAATTTTTTCAGTGAACGAGAGGCTCTTTTATTTTTTTTCATATAAATATTTAACATTGAGATTTGATAGCAAATCATCCAAACATATTTTAATATCATATACTTTCTGGCGAAAACAATTATTCAGACCTTTTTAAATATGAAAGTAATACTCTCTGTAGAATATTTTGACGCTTAAGTACCAGAAAGAAAGGATGGTTGTATTTTGGAAAAAAATTGAACTCTGCAGACAGCAGCTCTTAAGTAACGAACTTTTTCAACACACTTGTAACTACTTCCATGATTTTTGAACATGCTGGGACCAATTTCCAAATATAACCGGCTACAGGAGAAACTTGACGTGCGTACTGCAAGCCAATAAGCGTGCTGCAAGCGATAAAAAAAATATTCATAGCACCAGACAGGTGCATGAGGCTAAACTTCCTCGCATGCTAATTTTTATACACGTGCATTTTTGTTGGTGTTCTCCGCTGGATCCAGCTCGAACGAACGAAATAGCATTCTCAGAGATCTGGGAGCCATGAACTGGAGACAAGTAGAAGCGATTCTCTTGCTCGGAATTCTATCAGCTGTTGCAATGAATGTAAGGTATTGTAAACTGATATTTTTCTGCGAGGTCAGGGCGAGTTTCTCGAGCTTGTATTACATTTTGATCAGGTGGTTGCGATTTGGATCGTTCGGTATCTGCGCAATGAAACAGTCTGGATGTTTTTTTTTTAAGCATGTGGAATACATTCGAAGGTAAAAATGTTTTGATGGTCAAGGATCGCGATTCACCCGTGTAAATGACAGTGGTAGAAATGATCTCTGAGTTTAGCATATGTTATACAAATCGACTGAGAAATATAACATGAAAACGGGTTGGGAATTGTTTGGCCCTTGCAGTTGCATGATGGACCTCCACGGTTGTAAAATTCGTCAATTGTTCTGTTCACTCAAACGTATAAACGCAGAACGAAAAAAGTTGTATATATTTATTCCTTTCAAGGATACGCATACTCCCCTGGAGTCTATTGTAATTTTCTAACGGCAAAAGCCCAAGGTTGTCACGAGCGGCGAGGGTGGCTTTTGAATTCAGCCAAAACCATAACTTAGAATCCAATTGTCTTCTCACCGAAATTTAAATAGCTTACAAAAGAAATATACAATGTTAAAATAGAATGCAGGACAATGCACGTTGAACTAGTTGGTTTGTCGTCACCCTTGAAAAAAGATAGCTTGCAGAGAAAGGAAAAAATTCACACAGTTTACATAAATTATAAAGTGCCAACATGTATTAAAGAATA